TTTCCAAGAGCCTTTCTCGTTCTTCTTTTTCAGCTTCTAACTGCTTCTGTCTCTCATGTAGTATTTCTTTTTCAAGTTCCAATAATTCAGGGTTTTTCTTTGGTTTTCTCCTCTCAATGTCTTCTTCACTCTCATCAATAAATGATACAGACTTTTTGAATGTGTTCTCCTCCTGTTTATCTCTCTTTGCCAATAACCTCTCTTTGTCATACTGTATCTCCTTACTGTCTCTCAGCTTCTCAGTCTCTTTCTTGAACTCTAAACCTTCCAACCTATGGATTTCCTTCAAACGTGCTATTTCTCTTTGCAATTCCAAAATTCTTTCTTGCTCTTGCTTTTCTTCCTCTAATTCTAACAATCTCTCATGTAGGAATTTTCTTTCTTGCTCAGATAGATCAGTTTGCACCTTTGATGAAGTTCCCTTCTCCATCTCAGTGTGATCCAAAACAAGCTTGTGTTCCATTAGCTGAGACATAACCTTCTCCTTTATTTCTTTTTCAGTCATGCTAGTTCCTAGATGACAAAATAAGAATAATGAAATTCAATGTAATGCCTTTAATTGTCCATGAGGAATAATGCAAAATGAAAAAGCAGTTGTAAGAGGTTTTAGGCAATTATCAGAAAAATACAGTAAAATGATTGATTATGAGTAATAATAGTAAAAACACAAGTGTCTACAGCTAAATGACTTGATTTGGGAAGTATACATTTTTGTGGACTTTGTAGCTGCTACAAACCATGAATTTAAAGACCCAATGTACAATTTGAATGACATTTTGATTAGACTGGTATATCAAGGAATTAAATACCAGTCTTAAACATGGAACATTAATTTAAAGACCCTATATACAATCTGAATGACATTTTTTCAGACGGGTATATCAAGGATTTTAAGTCCCAGTCTTTAAAAAAATCCATAAATTTAAAGACCCAATGTAAAATTTCATTAACATTTTTATATATATCAAGTAATTAAGTACCAGTCTTGAAATAGAAACGTGAATTTAAAGAACCAATGTAAAATTTATACCACTTTTTATCAGACTGGTATATACAAGATTTTATGTAACAGCTCAAAAGAAACATAAATTTAAAGACCCACTGTAAAATTTCAATGCCATAAATGCCATGTTTATCAGACTGGCATATCAAGTTTAAGTTTCATAAATGACATTTTTGTCAGACTGGTACATCAAGTTTCAATATCATAAATGACAATTTTGTCAGACTGGTATATAGGGGATTTTAAGTACCTGTTGGGAAAAAAATGACACTAATAAAAATACACAAATTCAGAATAATTTGCATGCTTATATATATATCAGTGGATATATTTCTGTTAAACATCATGTAAAATAAACTTTTTTCTATGAAAAAAATAATTTTAAAAATAAATCTTTAGAAAAAACTAAAGGGATGATAATCATTTTGCTAACATAAATTTACCCTCCCCAATTCTACATCCCACATATAAAACTTAATAGAGATTAGTCAGCAGTCAAAAAAGTGCAATAACCCTTTTAAAAGTGGAAGGAGTATACTGATTGGTCAAGAATAATATCTTCTGAAAATTGAAGCATTCATGTTTTATTACATGTAATAAAACCTGTCTTGAACAATCAATGTTAAGAAAGGCAACCTGGTTTGAGAGACCAGATACTCAATTCACAAACTAATCTGCTATATTGAGAAAAAACTACCTCCAATAAGAGACAATCTGTCTTGAGAGACCATATTTTTCTCTACTGTACCATCTGCTGCTGCAAATCAGAAAGAGCAAACATTTTTACATAAATTGCAAGAGCTCTGTGATTGGTCAATATGTGCAACTAAAGTTGATGACTATAAAATGTACTAAGTTTCACAGAGAGCCACCAAAAACTGTAGGACTAACTTTGTTCCCAAGACTATGTCATATACTGCAATTAACTGTAAGACATGATGGGAAGTAACACCAGCATAAATTGTGGGATGACAGTAATTCATCAGTATATGCATCTCAAATAGAAAAGCAAAATATGTACAAAGATTCATGGTAATCCACACAGTCCAAAATGACAACCAAAATATGTACAAAGATTCATGGTAATCCACACAGTCCAAATGACAACCAAAATATGTACAAAGATTCATGGTAATCCACACAGTCCAAAATGACAACCAAAATATGTACAAAGATTCATGGTAATCCACACAGTCCAAATGACAACCAAAATATGTACAAAGATTCATGGTAATCCACACAGTCCAAAATGACAACCAAAATATGTACAAAGATTCATGGTAATCCACACAGTCCAAAATGACAACCAAAATATGTACAAAGATTCATGGTAATCCACACAGTCCAAATGACAACCAAAATATGTACAAAGATTCATGGTAATCCACACAGTCCAAAATGACAACCAAAATATGTACAAAGATTCATGGTAATCCACACAGTCCAAATGACAACCAAAATATGTACAAAGATTCATGGTAATCCACACAGTCCAAAATGACAACCAAAATATGTACAAAGATTCATGGTAATCCACACAGTCCAAAATGACAACCAAAATATGTACAAAGATTCATGGTAATCCACACAGTCCAAAATGACAACCAAAATATGTACAAAGATTCACAGTAATCTACATAGTCCAAATGACAACCAAAATATGTACAAAGATTCACAGTAATCCACACAGTCCAAATGACAACTAAAACATGTACAAAGATTCATGGTAATCCACTGAGTTCAAATGATAACCAAAATATGTACAAAGGTTCACATTAATCCACTGAGTCCAAATGATGACCAAAACATGTACACTGATTCATGGTAATCCACAGAGTCCAAAAGATAACCAAAACATGTACATTGTTTCATGATAATCCACCATGTCTAAATGATAAAACATGCACAAAGATTCACAGTAATCCATTGAACACTGTGAGACTACCAGTAATTGCATTTCTTAAGATTCTGTAATACACTGCATTTAGCTTTAAATAAACAAGGGCAATAACTATTGCAAAATTGTTGGATCACAATACAAATGTGTTGCTATCTGCATATTCAAATAATGAGCATTATGTTTGACACATTTCATGGCTAATGAGAATGAGTCATACATTTCATGGAAATCCATCAAAACTATAGGACTAGTTGTGTTAGTGAAACTGAGTCATACATTCATAGTAATCCATTAAAAACTATAGGACTAGTTATGTTAATGAAATTGAGTCATACATTTCATGGCAATCCATCAAAAACTCTAAGACTAGTTGTGTTAATGAAATCAGTCATACATTTCATGGTAATCCATTAAAAACTATAGGAGGGGGCCCAAGTGGTCTAAAGCGCTGTCCGTTACGTATCACTGCCATCTCATCTCTATCTGCGTGTGTTCGAGTCTAAGATTCAGTGAATGTGGATATGTGAGAAAGCTTGCCAGTATCTTCTCGTAGGTCGGTGGTTCTTTCCGGTGATTTCTCGGTTTCTTTTTCCACCATTAATACTGGCCGTCATGTATAGCCAATCATGTGCTGAAAAATGGCGTTAAACCCCACAACAACAACAACAACATAAAAACTATAGGACTAGTTGCACTAATGAGATCAAGTCATACATTTCATGGCAATCCATTAAAAACTATAGGACTAGTTGCACTAATGAGACCAAGACATACATCTCATAGCAATCAATCAAAACTATAGGACTAGTTGTGTTAATGAGATCAAGTCATACATTTCATAGCAATCCATCAAAACTATAGGACTAGTTGCACTAATGAGATCAAGTCATACATTTCATAGCAATCCATCAAAACTATAGGACTAGTTGCACTAATGAGATCAAGTCATACATTTCATAGCAATCCATCAAAACTATAGGACTAGTTGCACTAATGAGATCCAGTCATACATTTCATAGCAATCCATCAAAACTATAGGACTAGCTGCACTAATGAGATCCAGTCATACATTTCATAGTAATCCATTAAAAACTATAGGACTAGTTGTGCTAATAAGATTGAGTCATACATTTCATGGCAATCCATCAAAAACTCTAAGACTAGTTGTGTTAATGAAATCAGTCATACATTTCATAGCAATCCATCAAAATTATAGGAATAGTTGCACTAATGAGACCAAGACATACATCTCATAGCAATCCATCAAAACTATAGGACTAGTTGTGCTAATAAGATTGAGTCATACATTTCATGGCAATCCATCAAAAACTCTAAGACTAGTTGTGTTAATGAAATCAGTCATACATTTCATAGCAATCCATCAAAACTATAGGACTAGCTGCACTAATGAGATCCAGTCATACATTTCATAGTAATCCATTAAAAACTATAGGACTAGTTGTGCTAATAAGATTGAGTCATACATTTCATGGCAATCCATCAAAAACTCTAAGACTAGTTGTGTTAATGAAATCAGTCATACATTTCATGGCAATCCATCAAAAACTATAGGACTGATTGTGTTAATGAGACCAAGACATACATCTCAAAGCAATCCATCAAAACTATAGGACTAGCTGCACTAATGAGTCTTACATTTCATTAAGCTATAATAGTAAAATGGCAATAACTCTAACAAAAATGAGAGAGCAAAGTGATTTGTCTATACATGCATGAGCATTCATTAAAAAAATGTCATGCTAGCTGCGTTCATAAGATTTTATTATATAGTGCATTCACTTCCAAGCCCAAAAGGTCAGAGTGTGTGTGTGTGTGTGTGTGTGTGTGTGTGTGTGTGTGTGTGTGTGTGTGATTTAGATTTTTAATGTAGCTTTAACAATTTTTCAGTCATATCGATACAAATATCTGCACTGTGGTAGTTTATAGTGATGTCTAGCAATGGGGCATCATGCCACAGATATATAACATGATGTTCCACCTGGTCACATTATCCTGACACCAGACTGACCAGTCTTAACACTAATCTCTTAATGCTGAGCAACAAGCAAGCCAATTGTTAGCACCATTTTTTAAAGTTTTTGGTATGACTCAACTGGGGATTGAACCCACATCCTCCTGCATCATAGGCAGATGCTCTAACCACTAGGCCACAGGAGTGATTACCAAAAGGGGCAATAAATCTTTAAAAATTGAGAGAGAAAATTAGTGATCTATCAATTAATGAACATCTATAGTTGACAACAATGATATTTACAAAGTTTCATGGCAAAAATATGAATACATAAAATAGTGTGATTAGTTTTTCTAATGAGATTTTGTACTATCTGGCTGGATGAATGGATGGACATAAGGATTTCTGTATACTCCTCTTTGTCTATAAAGGAAAGGGCATAAAAAAACAGTTCTCTTTATCTTGCATACCTGGAACAACCCTCTCACTGCCATTCTCGATGAAGTTTTCCTTTCTGGAGTTAGTGGACCCCTTTTTCCTGAAGAGAAGGGGTGGTCCTGGAAAGTAGGGGTATCTCCAGGGTTGGCTGGCTAGCAGTAATTGGTCCCCATTTAGACAAATAGGGTCTGGTTCCTCATATTCTTCAGGGTCTGCATGGGGACCTGATGTCATGTAACCTTGTTAAAAAAAAATGAAGAGAATTAATGTAGATTTCAGTCATGCTAATTTCAGCTAAAGAAAGGAAGGGGAGTGTTGAATATCATCCTGGTAGCACACATGCTTTCTGTCACTGCAGTCCCAGGTTAATCCCCAGCTCCCCAGCTCTGATACATGCATGGCTTTGTGACTGCTTTTCAGTGTAGGTAATCTTCTTAAGACCCTTACCTTTTATCAAATACTGCAACAAAACACAATCTGATCAGGAAATTTCACTTAAAAATCAGGAGATTTTAATTCAAATCAGGAGATTTCAATTCAAATAAGGAAATTTCACTTCTGATCATGAGAAATTTCATTGAGCTGGCATTTAATATGTACAACAGATAAAATTATTAATAATGAAATATGTGCCAAAATGTTTGTATTTAATACAAGCATGATGAGGTAGCATACAACCAAACAATTATAGAATTCAAGTGTATAATAAAGCCATCACAACTCACACTGCACACTGTACATTATGTAACATCATTCATTAGTTTCTATCTGGCTCATAGAGAAGCTATATAATCTTGATCCTGGTTCCTCTTTAATATTGTAGTTGTTGTAGTTGTAGTTGTTGTTGTTGTTGTTGTGGGGCTTAATGCCATTTTTCAGAACATGATAGGTTATACATGTCGGCCAGTATTAATGGTGGAGGCAGAAACCAGAAAATCACCAGAAAAAACCACCAACCCATGAGAAGCTACTGGCAAGCTTTCTCACATATCCACATTCCGCGAATCCTAGACTCAAACCCCTCTTTAATACATACATACACACACACACATATATATATATGTGTATATATATATATATATATATATATATATATATATATATATATATATATATATATAGACACAAAAATTGATAATGGTGAAAATTCAAAATGGTTTCCCAATGTTTAGATCTAAAAAAATCTCTTTGTCAGAGGAAAATCACCAACTAAAATATAAAACAAACACCTGACAAAAAATCTACAAAATTACTGGAAACCTACATATTAGAATCACTACAAGAGATATAATAATACAAAATTGTGCAAAAATAATAGACAAGGGAGGGTTGTATATATCACATAACCTAATTCTAACTTGTGAACAAAGGACGGAGACAAAATCTGGTGAGAGATCAATGCCAGAAAGTATGTCCCAGTAGAGTTTTGCAAAGATATTGAAGGAGGTTTTGATGGAAAGATATTAAGATAACTATATATCTGGTTAATTGATTAGAACTATAATAATGATAATATATATAGTTCTCCTTCTTGATACTGTAAGGCCTTTAAACAATTCCTATATTTGATTCTGGGGTAAAGTCAGTAAATACAGACAATATTTTAATTTAGAAAATTATGTATGGGTCTAACTTTTAAACTGACTTGGGGCTGAAGAAGAATATCAAACCAATATAGTAATAAACTTCCTTAAAATCTTTTACAGCAGCGAGCTGATAATGTAAACCAAATGGTGGGTCACTACTAAAAAATATGCAACTGCAAAAAGCAATGTTTGAAAGCACAGAAAAATTTGCTGGGTCAGTTGGCAAAGTAAATTGTAATTTATCCAGCTGACAACTGACAATGAGAAGACTAAGTAAAATAGAAAATTCTGACTAAATTGTGAAACTTATTTCATTAGAAACTGATTAAACAGGCTGAAATATACTGCCAGATTTGAAACAAAATTAACAACAACGGTATACAACATTAGACACAGTTGTAAGCAATTGTTACCCTTTGCTGTCTCAAGTTTCAAAAAACAGAGGTGCACAAAGATGGTGCAGGATACTAAAATAAAGTGTGACAGTGTTAATAATTTTTCATCTACACATCATTCACCAAACTTTCAAGAACCTAATTTATACAATATGTAACTTCTTGTCACTCATGCAATAATTGTGTCTTCTTGATATTATGGTCATTTTTGAAAAATTCAATAAGGATTCTTGTCAGCAAAATAACAAGATCACAAAGGTACTAAATAAATGTCTTCCATTTGATGTACATGATGCATGAAAGCATCAAACCAGTCAGGTTGTATCAATAATCAAGCAGCATCATTGATACAGATAAAGATATATTATAACATCAGACCTACACATTTTGTACTGTAATTAGTTTTGTTCCACAGGAGACGGGAATTTTCAAACATTGAAGGAAAGAGTGTGAGGCACAGCTGATACCAGTAGGATTGTCTTTTAATTTGTGAGGTACAAATACATGCATATATTGAGCACATTTTTTGAAGGTTATGATAACCTGTTTGTCATTTGACTTTGTTAAAACAGAAATTAATTACTTCATTTCAAATTGGTCAATGACTAATTAGCAAAATTAGCAGATAATTTCTTCAACATGGTAAAAGAATTCATAAACATACAGCTACCTGGATCATCAGTTAATGATAAGTGAACAAACTGCTTTCTTTAACTGAACAAACTTTCTTTAAAATGTATGAAAAAATATAAAAGGAGATAATTTTGTTTAATATTTGTATACATATTTAACATATATTGATAATATTACATGGATATTGTATGAAACTGTTAATTTCTTTTTTTCTAAATTAACAAAACTGCAAATTATGGGTCATTTTTTAGTCATATCTGCACAGCTACAAGGATAAATGTGATTTTCTAACAGTAATCACAATGTTAAAAAATTTCAGTTTCACCAAATTAGAAGCTATGTACCTTCTAATGTGTTCATTGGGTAGTTTTCCTGTGCCATAAGGGCCTCCCTTGCAGCTTTTGGCATCTGCAATTCCAGAGCCAGTCGCTCATAAACTTGTGTCGGAATCCATACTGCCACATCAGCAGGTACACGTTCTGTCTTCCCATTGGCAAACTTGACCACCAGTTGCTTGTCATCTGGACCTGTCAAGGGAAAAATAAAAATCAACATGCTTGTTTTGAAGTACAATAAGAATGTAATGACCAGTGCTCCAGTAAGAGAGAAATATAAAGGTTCTCCCCCTCCTCAGTACCTTCTTTACTACTCACTGTACCATTCTGCTAGTCCCACCTCTTCAAATCTCTCCTGATCACTACAAAACTTGTTCACCACTGTTTATATTCTAATTTTTCCTTTTATGTTTCAATTTACTTAATGTAGAACGAATGTACTAGTGTACTTTCTTCAGTTTCTTCTTGAAAAAAGTGAAATTATAAACTCAGCGATCAACATGAGGTCATTTTACTGTGAACAATGTCCTTTTTTCCAAATAAGGTGCCTCTTCCTTTAACACAACAAGATCAGTGCCTGCATTTTCACACTACCACCAAGGCATTGCTACAAAGTGAATGACCTTGATCTCAAGATAAAAAATTAATTTGAGTGAATTTTCTACCCTTCATAATAATTTCTGTCAAGCATTATGGCAAATATATGCAAATACAAAACTGCAAACAATGCTTAAGCAAGCAATTGATATTGCTGTCAGTGGCAGAAACATGACTGCTATGTCTTTCTTCCCAATACTGCTGGCTCAAGTGACATGAACTTGACAAAGCATTCTCCAATAATTACAGCTTCTCCTATTGCCATTCCTGTGTGATACTCCAATAATTACAGCTTCCCCTATTGCCATCCCTGTGTGATACTCCAATAATTACAGCTCCCCTATTGCCATCCCTGTGTGATACTCCAATAATTACAGCTCCCCTATTTATTGTCGTCCCTGTGTGATAATCTAATAATTATAGATTCCCCTATTACCATCCCAGGTGTGTGATACTCCTAAAATTTGCATTAAAGATGATGTTGATAATAACAATGATGATGGTGATGCTGCTGATTGTAACCTGCAACAGTGTAATTAATGTTTTATGATGGTGGTGGTGTTTATAGTAGTATTATTGTTAGCAATGGTGATGGTGATGATTGTGGTTGTGGCTGTAGTGTTGATGCTGTTACTCATGGTGATAATAATGATGATAAAAAGGTGTATATTTCTGATTTTTTTCCAGTGATTTTTGAGATTGTGCTTCACCCCCAAACTCTTAATCTACCAAGATGGCCATGTCACTAGGAGATGTAAGAGGATGAAGAAAAACCTTGAACCAAACACTCTGTGCAAAATACGACCATGGCCTTAACCTCAACTGGTAAGAAAATTCATCATGGTGTTTAGAAAATATAAGCAAATGAAAAATCTTTAACCAAAAGCTACCACAACTTATCTATGACTGTGACCTTGACTCCAGTCCAAGTGAAGATCGCATTTGCTGAATCGATTGTCTTACTTTTGTAAAGATTATTCCTAAGAATAAAGAAAACCCACTGAAGCATTAATGTAGTATAAGCATATAAAAAAAAATTGAACAAAAACCATCACAGGATTTTTCAATGACTGTGACCTTGACCCATGTTCATAAGTGCAAGCAAGCATGTCACAGAATGTACTATCATATCTTCTTCATAATTATTTAATGCCAAGCATAATGAGCATCTATCAAAAGGTTTAGGAGATATCAGCTAATTAACAACTTTAACCAAAACCTTAATGCAAATG